CAGAATAAAGACTTTCTGGGCCAGCTGGAGGTGTGGTGGTGAGGGTGGCTGGACTCCACGTGGCCACCTGTACCGTTTGAGTCCTGGACCTGGCAGCTAGAGGAACGTGCCAGACTTGCCGAGAAAAGGATAGAGAAGGGACTGCAACATGGCCATTGTCTCGGGGGAGCCGTGGCTTTCTCACTCTCCCACTCTGGCTCTGGCTCTCTCTGGCAAGCGTACATGCCTTATAGCAAATTAAAAGAAAAATCTTTCTGAAGTCCCTGGTAAAAAACAATAGAATACTTGTGAGGCCAGCAGATGGCATAGCCGTTCTGTTGTTGGACTCCCACGTGGCCGAACGTGGTCTGAGTACCAGACACTTGTGCACGAGTGCCCCAGATCCTGGAGGAAGAATGGAGGAGAGGGATTGTGGGGTCTCCATCCCCCCAGGGGGATTTCTCACTTCCCCTCTCACTGTCTCTGTCTTGTTCTCTCTCTGGTGAGCACATACACCATAAGGCTAAACCTCTAAAACACCAGAAAAGAGTATTTGTTAAGTAGGTGAATGGAAGAATAAAGCATGATCTGATTAACTTTGTACACTTCCCAGACACATCTTCTAAAAAACGTTTTCACGACCTGAGTTTCTCTCTCTCTTTTTTATGTCAGATAGCAAATGAGAGAGAGAACCGCCCGTGGGCCCGGCCAGCTGCGATCCTTTCTCCTCCATTCTCCGTCTCCTCCGGGTCTTGGGCTGAGTATTCCTTATCCAAAATGCTCGTGACCAGAAATGGCTTGGATATTGGACATTTTTGGGTTTGGGAATATGTCCGTGTACAACATGAGATATCTTAGAGATGGCACCCGAGTGTAGACGTGAAATCCGTGCGTGCGTGGTGTGCTCCTGTGATACACAGCTCGAAAGTAACTCTACACAGCATGGCTGGACCGCCACCTGGCCCACGTCAGTGGAATTTTCTGTCTGTGGCACCATGGCGGCACGCATCTTGTTTCAGACTTCGGAGCATGTCAGTGTTGGGCTTTTGGATTAGAGATGCTTAGCCTGTCATAAAACAAGAAAATCCTTTGAACTGAGCCACATCTGTTGGGGAGAGCATGAGGTGGGGCGAGGGAAGAAGAAGTCTGGACTCTCTCTAAGCCGCCAGCCCCAGGAACGCCCTCGGGTGGGCTGCCCTCTCCTGTCCGCATTCCTCATGTCGGTCCAGAAGCAAGATGCTGTCAGCACTTTGCATCTGTACACTGCTTTTCTTCAGAACGATGGAAGACATCTCCTGGGATATCTAGCGGGGAAAGTGAGGAACTTAGCAAAGTATGTTAGCAAAGGTCGTGTTCCCATGAGAAAAAGAATCAAGGAAAATCGAAACGCAGGAGGCGGTGGGGATCCACAGAGCGGACTCCCATGGGGAACCCTAAAAAGGTGTGTTGCACAACCCTGACTGCTTCTAACCCCATCTCTCATCCCTAGAACAAGAGGCAGAGGAAGGGGACGAGGCAAGAGGCGATTTGGCCCGGGTCGGCGGCCTGGGCGTCCCCCAAAATTTATCCGCTTGGAAATAACCAGCGAGAACGGGGAGAAGAGTGACGATGGGACGCAGGTACTTGGGGAGTGGGAAGAGTGCCTTGGGAAGGCTTCTGGTCCTGCTGTGACAGTTTTACTGTCCGTGAATAAACTGACTCCCATGGACCGGCATGTGGCGTAATGGTTACGGCACTGGACTCCCACGTAGTTGACTGCAGTTCAAGTCCCAGACCCGGCAGCTTGAAACTCACACCAGGTGCATGTGCATGTGTGCCAGAGATCCCAAGAGGAGGAGGGAGGAGAAGGGATTGTGGTGTGGCCATCCCCTCGGGGGGTGATTTCTCGCTTTCTGTCTCCCTGTATCTCTCTCTCTGGCATACACCCTATAGCAGAAGTCTCTTTAAAAAAAGGAAAGAAAGAAAAGGAACTGGCCCTCAGTAGCAAAACCCAGCACATTTTCAAGTGTTACTAATAAGAAGAACCAACTTTGCTGCCCTAAAGAGCTGGAATGGGCCAGAGAGATCAGAGGGGCTTTAACTCACTTGAACAGTTACAGCCACGGAGATAGCCCAGGGTGGCTCTGGCTGTGCACACTGCGTGTAGTTACCTGTGATCGTTAACCCCCGGGGAGGACGAATCTAGTCATCTGACAAGAGCCGCAGCTCCAACCTGAGCGGACAGCCCCCAGCCCTGACGTCTGTCCAGGAGGGGAAGTAATTCCTGGTCCTTGCCCCTTCTAGGACTTGCTGCACTTTCCCACCAAGGAGCAGTTTGATGAGGCAGAGCCAGCTCCTCTGAACGGGCTAGATCAGCCGGAGCAGACCACGATCCCCATCCCTCAGCTGCCACAGGAAGCCCCGTCTTCTCTGGAACACGAGCCGGAGACTCACACTCTGCACCTGCAGCCGCAGCACGAAGCGAGCGTGGTGCCCACCCAGAGCGCCCTGACGGCCGACGACATGCGCAGAGCCAAGCGCATCCGAGTAAGTGGGGCATGGGACCACCGGCCGCCAGGCTACCCCCCCCCACACACACACACACACACCGGCCGGCTCTTTGGTGCTTGTCCCAACTTAGTCATGGTCCCTGTAGGAACCTTGTGTCCGGTCTGCCACAGCTCAGTCGCCAATGCTGGAAGGAAGTGGAACAATTTCTCCAGGTCTGCGTCCTGTGGCAGGCTGGACTGGAGGGTCCTGGCAGATCCACACACTAATGACGCAGATGCCAGAATTTGGGCAGGGCTCAGGCCAGGTAAAGGAGGCAGGGCCCCCGCATCCCCAAGTTCACCGGTTAGAAATGAGGAAATTAGCACATTTACTTGTAGTAAGTATTTAGCTGTGAACCCAGGAGAATCTGTGCCTAACCTTAGCCCCCAGGTATGATGGTTACTCCACGTGGTCATATGCAGTGGCTGAGGGGTTACTGGCAAGTGTGGCTGTTCTCAATGCCAGCTGCCCACGTCCAGTGGGCACTGCAGCTACAGGTCACACCTGTGGTGTCTTGAAATGCTGCTCGAAGCTCAGGAGCCAGTGAGGGTCTCCCCTGTGTGACCTGAGTCGGCATTAGCCCACAGGGCTGTGGGATGTCCTCGACTTCCAGCTCAGATCTCTTCTTCTCTAACTAGTCCCCTGACAGCACTGGAGACTGGCTTAGGGACAGCGGGGGACGCGTGGAGGACAGTGAGGTTGTGGGATAAGGGACTGCTAATGAAAACGATGACTTAGTACCCACGTCCGTGGCAGCTGGACGGGCGTCCGAAGACGGTTACCGGTACATTCCATGTCGGTGAAGGAGGCTCACACAGCTTCCCAGCCCCTACGGTTTCTAGCTGGATGGGCATTTCAGCTCACGCTTACTTGGATAGGCTAGGAGGGACCTGGGGAAGCAGGGTAGTCTGTGCCTTCCTGTTCAAGCCCATTTAGACATTCCCAGCCGTGTGATGGCTCCAAGGGCTCTCTAGGAACTCGGGCTAACCAGCCTTTCCGAGGGTTCTGTCACACTCCGAGCTTCCACCTTGGTGAGCATTATTTTATTTTTATTTTTTTAAAGAGGTTTTTGCTATAGGGCGCGTGCACTTGCCAGGCAGACAGGGAGAGACAGAGAGACAGAAAAGCGAGAAATCACTCCCTGGGGGGATGGCCATGCCGCAATCCCTTCTCCTCCGTTCTCCTCTCGGGATCTTGGGCATGCATGCACACGCGCCCGGCTTGAGTTTAAGCCACCGGGTCCGGGACGCGAACCGTGGTCGACTACGTGGGAGTCCAGTGACATAGCCATTATGCTAACTGCTGGTCCCCTTGGTGTGCATTATTTCCAGCGGGCAGTAAACGTACAAAACCCGGGCCAGCCAGGCAGGGGCCGTGCGTGGACACCCTCCCACCGTCACCCACTCTCTTTCTCGCGTGTACCTCTTTCCTCTGTACAGCTGTCGTTTCTGCTTTGGCCATTCTGGGTTTTCACTGAGCCCAAAGCAGTGCTTGCTAGATGTAGATTTCTCAAGGAAGGAAAGCAAAGCCTGTGTGCCGTGAAGCTGTGGATGTCTGAGTCTGGCCACGGTGTCCTCTCGCGTGCGGTCCCTCGTGTCGGAGCAGAAGCCGTGTGCCTGTGGCTCGGATGACTTAGCCGAGCTGTGTGGGCACTCCCTCTCCCACTTTCTGAGCAGCAGGGCTATGTGCGTTTCTCATCTTTTCTATCCCAGCCGAAGGGAAGCTCCCAGTCCGATCGTAATGCAACTATTTTTCTCTCCTCCAACGCTGCCGGCTCAGTGGGAGCTGCAGGTAGGTATCTCCCGAGTCCGCGATGCAGTGTGGTTGCAGTGTGGCCTGCGCGTGCCAGGTCCTGGTGGAGGCCACAGCCGGGTCGCTGCAGTAAAGGCCACGTGGTGAATAATGGGAGTGGGTGTGCCCACAGGTCAGTGAGTGAGCTGCAAGGCCCCTTCCTGCTCTGGACAGCTGGAGCGGCTTCGCGCGGGGTAGTGGGGTGCTGTCTGGGCCTCGCCCTCAGCCTCACTCGGCAGTCAGCACTGACGGAAGGTGCTCCGCAGGTCGGTGTCTCACACATAGCCCACAACTGTGCAGCCGGGCGGAGTTACACGTGTAGTCCACACCCGTGCAGCAGGTCGGTGTCTCACACATAGCCCACAACTGTGCAGCCGGGCGGAGTTACACGTGTAGTCCACACCCATGCAGCCGGACGGAGTTACACGCGTAGCCCACACCTGTGTGGCAGGTTGGTGTCTCACACATAGCCCACAACTGTGTGGCTGGACGGAGTTACACACGTCCACACCTGTGCGGCTGGACGGAGTTACGTGCATAACCCACAACTGTGCGGCCAGACAGAGTTACACATGTAGCCCATGCCTGTGCAGCAGGTTGGTGTCTCACACATAGCCCACAACTGTGTGGCCGGACGGAATTACACACATAGTCCACACCTGCGCAGCAGGTCGGTGTTACATGCATAGCCCACAACTGTGCGGCCAGACAGAGTTACACGCGTAGCCCACAACTGAGCGGCCAGACAGAGTTACACGCGTAGCCCACAACTGTGTGGCCAGACAGAGTTATACGCGTAGCCCACGCCTGTGCGGCAGGTCGGTGTCACATGCGTAGCCCACAACTGTGCGACCGGATGGAGTTACACGCATAGCCCATGCCTGTGTGGTGGGTCGGTGTCACACGCCTAGCCCACAACCGTGCAGCAGCTGGGGTGGTGAAAGGCTGAAGGAGGAGGAATCAGGGCACAGTACCTGGGAGAGGTGAGATGGAGTCTGGTCCTTGAGACCCAGGAGGAAGGTAGACCCTTCTAGAGGAGGGTGGCCATAGACGAGGGCCTCACGCAGGAAGGCGCCTGTAACGGTTATGGGCAAAGACTAGCCTGGCCCCTGCATGGGGTGCCAGCTGCAGGACAGTGGGGTGTGGTGTGGTGGGCAGGGCTCACTCACTGAAGTCTTCGAAAGCTGAGCAGAAAATAGGACAAAGGAAAGTTGCTGACAAAAAAGAACCTCCACAAAATAATGAGCAAACGTGATGTTTTTGTTCCCTTTTAGTGTCAGGATCCAAATGGTATGAAATGGATGAATAATTTAGGTTCCTTTCACTGTTAATATCGAACTTCAGAACGTTTATGGGCTTTGTCTGCAAGGCACGTGCCGTCTGTTAGCTCAATCCCACGTGAGCTGACTCCGTGTCTCGGAGCTGAGTACGACACAGTTGGGAGTCTGCAGAGTAGCTGGTGTGCACGTGCGTGGCGTGGTGACTGATGGGCTCCCAGGGCAGAGCCTGAGTGGGCCCGTGTGCCGGCCCCGCCTGTTTCCCCGGCTTGTACACATGTCCCTGTCGTGGCTCTGAGCTACGCAGCACGCCTACAAGTGGTCTGGGTGGGGCCAGCCCCGGCACCCAGCCCTCGCAGCAGGCGGTCCACAGCAGAGTCATCAGGGCAGAGAAAGAGGCTCTGCAGCACTTGGACGGTGTTCCAGGCTCCATGAAAGTAAGAAGACGCCAGGGTTTGTCGGCAGGACCGGGAAGGTGGAGCCGGGTGGCTGCACAGTCTAAACCCGTATCCAGAGGGCCTCAGGCTTACCGGGAGAGACAGGAGACTGAATGGCATCCCACAACCAAAACAAGGCTCTGGATTTGGTGCTGCGGGACTCGAGTCCTTGGCAGGACCCAGCTCAGCTGTGTGCGTCGGGTCCGTTCTGGAGACGGCCCTGCACAGGCACGGGCGGTCCTTCCGTGGCCAAGTGCTTGAGGCCTTGGCTCTGGGCCGGAGCCGCCCCTGGTTATCTGCAGTATCTCTGAAGTGCTGGAGGGGACCAATGATAAGGGCATCTGGGTAACTGAGTGCTTCCAGACCGAGTAAAGATCGGGCGTGGGGAGTGACGCAGCTCGCGGCTGCCCCGGGGAGCTCTGGCCTCAGCCGTCTCTGCAGAGGCAGTGAAAAGGCCTTCCGATGCTTTGCGTGGGATTCGTGTGGAATGTATTTCGCTCACTCTCAAACACCAGCAGCACTTGCTCTGAGTAAGGGCTTACGAAGGGATCGATCAGTAGGGGAAGGAGGAGGAAATACCGCGGCCCGCGAAGCAGCGCTGTCGGTCAGGAAGACCGCAGACCTGCCTGCCTGGGAGAGGTGGGCGGGCGGACCTGGAAGTCTCTCCCTGCCCTGTTGCGTAGTAGCTGTTCCGAGGTGTCACAAAATCAAAAGTAGTTATTTCGCTTTCCCGCCAAGCGGTCGTTTCACATTGAATTCAGTTCAGAAGCTGCCGCTCTTGGTAATTTGAAAGTAATAGTTGTAGCCTCCTCGCTGGGCTTTCTTCATCGCCCCGATGCTGCGTTAAGATCTCCAGGCCCTGCAGGCACCCATCCCCGATGGCGCCCTGGGCAGGATGAGCTTCGCTGAGGGCTTTCCCCTCTCAGAGCTACCTAGCGCTCCCCTTCCGTGTTCTGCGGAATGGACGGGTGAGTCTCCTTTACATGAAACTGCTACGCCGACCGTGGGCTCTCCGGGCGGAGGCTGCTCCGTGGGTTTGCACACCCATGCCGTGGCACTAGCGTGGCCTGCACCATTGCACACTTTCACAAGGTGACTGATGAGCGTTAGGAGTGCCACCTGGGACTGAGAAAGAGGAAATGGCCGGTCTGGGCAGGGAGCAAGCTGCACGCCTCGCCTCGTTCACGGCATTCTGGCCAGCAGCCCTGCCAGCTCCTGGGGAACCCGTCCCTGCAGAGGACGTAGGAGGCCACAGCATGCTTACACTCCGTTCAGGACACGTGCCGAGGGATGGCGCTCACGAACAAACGCACGCACACAGCGGAATCCTCGTTTCCGTCACAGCTCTTTCTCTTCCCATGAGATCTGTAAGTCACACAGCATCGCATTTACTCTTAAAGTGACTTCTCGAGTATTCCCCAAGTTGTCCAACCGCACGACTCTCTAATCCAGAGCGTTTTTACCACCCCCGGCAGAGCCTCGTCTCTGGTTCCTTCCTACCTGCTTCGGGCAGGCTTACCCTTCAGTTCTCTCTTTTTCTTACTTGCCGGAGGGTCATGCATGTGCCAGACAGAGGCAGAGACACAGAGGGAGGGAGCGGGAGAAGGCGCTTCTCGATGGTGCGTTCATGCCGTGACCCTTCTCTGCTTCTCCATCCTGTTGGGATTTTAGGCACACACGCACATGTGCCTGGTGTGTTTTTCGAGTCCCTGGGTCCGGGATTTGAACCATGTAGTTAGCCATGTGGGATCTTACTCCCTTAACCACTAGGCCACAGAATCTGTCCTACTATTCAGTTCTTTTTATCACCTTTTTTTTTTTTTTTTTGCTAAACATTGACTCAAGCTTCAGATTCTTTTCTGAAGGGCTTTGAACAAATGCCATTTAACTGGCTTGTGCCCACCTCCTCCAGGCTCGTGTGACTTTACCTAGGTCTTCTGTGTTATTGTGTCCCCCGGACCTGCTTGTTTGTACAAGTCTTCTATTGGGAATGCTGAATGTTACTTGAGTCTTTTTGAAGGAAAACACCTCCACATAGACGTAGCATGAAAAAGCACACAGAAAAGTTTGTAAGCCAAGCTTCTCTGGGGACACTTGGTTTTCAGTGTCTTCACTGGAAGTCTTCCGGCTGTGTTTCCGTGGGTGCGGAGGCCTCCCTCTGGCCGAGAAGTGTGGCCCGGCTCTGCCCCTCCCTCGCTGAGCAGCGGCCCTGTGCTCTCTTGCAGAACGCAGCGCTCCAGCACCTGTTCATCCGGAAGTCCTTCCGGCCCTTCAAGTGCTTGCAGTGCGGGAAGGCCTTCCGCGAGAAGGACAAGCTGGACCAGCACTTACGCTTCCACGGACGGGAGGGGAGCTGCCCGCTGACCTGCGACCTCTGCAACAAAGGCTTTATCAGCAGCGCCTCCTTGGAGGGTCACATGAGGCTGCACTCGGACCAGAAGACCTACTCGTGCATTTTCTGCCCAGAGTCCTTTGACCGCCTGGATCTGCTGAAAGACCACGTGGCTGTTCACATCAGCGACGGCTACTTCACCTGCCCGACTTGCAAGAAACGGTTCCCGGATTTTATCCAGGTGAGTGCTTCCGTCCTTCTTTCCATCAGAGAAACCTGGAGATTTGGAAAACCCACACTACCCAGTGCCTATGGTTGTCCCTTCTTCAAAACAGCTTTGCGGGGAACCAGCAGTTAGCGTAATGGCTATGTCACTGGACTCCCACATAGTCGACCATGGTATGTGTCCTGGACCCGGTGGCTTAAAACTCATGCCGGGTGTGTGTGCGTGCGTGCGTGCCCAAGATCCCAACAGGAGAATGGAGGAGAAGGGATTGCGGCGTGACCATCCCCCCTGGGGGGTGATTTCTCGCTTTCTGTCTCTATGTCTCTCCCTGTAAAGAAAAGAAAAAAAACCAGCTTTGCGATTGAGAGTAATACTGGGTCGTCTGACATGACAGATTTTTCGGTTTTTCATGCAAAAATGCATCATGACCTATCCGACCACCCAATGTTTCTTCAGTCAAGCCTCTTGTCCTTCATTGCCAAGGTCAGACAGTGAAACATTTAAGTTATAGTACAAATCTGTAATAAGCCCCCAGACCTGGCTCTATTAAAAAATGAAACAAAACAAGAAACTTTCTTGGGCCAACCAGTGGTGTGGTGGTTAAGGCAGCTGGATCCCACATGGCCGACTATGCAGTTCAAGTCCCAGACCCAGTGGCTTGAAAAGTACGCCAGGTGTGTGTGTATGCTCAGAATCCCGAGAGGGTAATAGAGGAGAGGGGATTGCGGTGTGGCCATCCTCCCCGGGGGGTGCTTTCTCACCTTCCCTGTCTCTCTGTTTTTCTCTAGGGAGTGCACACATCCTATAGCAAACTGAAAAAGATTTCACAAAGACACAGTGAGGGAAAGACCAAAACTCTAACTCCTTGCGGAAAGAGCAAAACTCTCACTCCTTGTCGATACCATCCCATAAGAGAGCCTATAATAAATAGGACCCAGAGGAGCCTGCGCCCGTGGCCGGGTCTGGGAATGTCCCCCATCACCGTGCCCTCCTGTGCTCTGCTCAGGCCAGGGAGTCTGGGAGGAAACAGAGAAAGTTGGTGTTCAGTACGTTTGTGCCACCACCGACTGCCCTGGGCGCGTGTGTTTTTGTTGGAGCAAAATGAATGGAAATAGATCCCCAAACATTTACGATTTCATTTGGACATTGTGATGCTGTATTTATTCTTATTGCCAAAGGGGTACTATCTTATATACTGCCGAGCAAATAATAGCTCTAAATATCTTGTCAAAATACTGTTTTTTAAAAAACTACCCAAACAGAAGGAAACTCGGTTTTAACCCTCGTTTGCTAGTGCTGAGTACCATGGAGATTTCCTCACTTCACACAACTAGAAAGGTCGCTGCAAGGCAGGTTTTAGTGGCAAAAGCAGCTCCGGAAGTAACGATGCAGCTGTGTTGTAGGGAGGCTGCTCTGCCCCTCACGTGGCCTCCGTCCGCTGCCCGCTCCGCGCGGACCGTCCTGCTTTCTGTCGGGAGGGAGTAGGTGCCCGTTACGGAGCAGTCCCCGCTGTGTCCGTGTGGTGTGTTGTCATAAGCCAGCGTGGTCTGCCCCGTCTGATCGTGCCTCTAACCCTTCCGAGTCTGATTTTATAGGGAAATGTAAAAGGGTCAGATCCTAAAAGGGGCTAAATTATTCTGTACATGTTGAAGAAAGAAAAAAAAAGAGGAAGAAGGTTTTTTTTCTCTGCTTATAGATACTTAGCTGGATTCATTTAAACTCAAAGGAGCTCTGTTTTAACCTAAAAAAAAAAAAGAGAGAAAAATGGGCCCCAAGTGTTCAGAGCTTTGGGCAAGAAAACACTCCTTCCACCCTTCATTGGCGTTCCCGCTACCTTTTCAGTTGCTCGGTGACAGGGACAGCCTGCCATTGAGGCCCTTGTCACACCCTATTGGCGACCACAGCCAGGCTGAGAAAACTGTGGCCGTGCGTTGGGCTCCCTCTAGCGGCGAGAGGCCGCATTTGGCCATTCCCTTTGGCCCCGAGCGCCCTGAGCTTTCTTGTCCTTTCTCCCCCAGGTGAAAAAACATGTGCGCAGCTTCCACTCGGAAAAGATCTACCAGTGCACGGAGTGTGACAAGGCCTTCTGCCGCCCCGACAAGCTGCGGCTGCACATGCTCCGGCATTCGGACCGCAAAGACTTCCTATGTTCCACCTGCGGGAAGCAGTTTAAGGTAGGACCGCAGACATAAGCCCAGAATCCGTGGGGTAAGCCTGTCGGTGCAGTTCATGGCTTATCGCTGGGAGAACCAGACTCCAGAGCACTTTGGGCCTCGGGTTTGGCCTAGTTATAAAATTAAGAGAAAAAACTTACCTTTCTTCATTTCTCAAAATAGTTCATTGAAAACCCAGAGTTTTAATGTACCTTTTTTGTGGAGAGTATTTTTGCTACAGAGTGCAGGTGCTTGACAGAGAGACAGAAAGAGACAGTGACAGGAAGTGAGAAGTCGCCTACCCCCCACCCCGGAGTGATGGCCACACCACAGTCCCTTCTCCTCTCGAAAATTTTAGGCACATAAGCACATGCGTCTGGTGTGAGTTTTACGCCGCTGGGTCCGGGACTCAAACCACGGTCGACTGCATGAGCGTCTGGCAACATAACCATTATGCTACCTGCTGGTTTCTACATTGCATCTCTTAAAAGAACCCAAATGTATTAGGACAGTAGAAATAAATTATTCCTGAGGCATTCCCAAGAGATCAATGCATTTACTTACCATTCAAATCAAGAGATATTTGTTGAGCACTTATTAAGCCTAAGAGCCTGTAGCCCCCACAAGCAGTGAGACTTACCCAGCAGAAGAGGGATCTAAAGACCCTTGAGGGGGCTGAGACCACTTTGGAGAATGTTAAAGACTTCAAAATTAGAGTTAAAAAATTATAAGTACCAGTAATCTGCCTGGAATTTAGAAGAAGCCAAGAAAAAACCTGAGGAAAACTCAGAGGTAACAGTTAAAAAATAAGAAAACAAAAAAATGTGCTTTTTGGAAATCAGTTGATTCTGCAAATACGTTAGCGAATATGTTTGTGGGTTACGCTGTCGTAGGAACTAGAACAGAATCAGAAGTGAGTTTGGGAGGAGAAAATTGATGGGTTTTTTAGAGGGAGACATTAGAGAGAGACAGTAATTTTTTTTTCTTTTTTTAAATAATTATTTAATTTTATTTATTCACTCATTTATTTTAATTTGACCAGAGAGACACAGAGGAGGAAAGAGAGAGAGGGAAAGTGAGAAAGGAAGCCACCAGATCCAAGACTTGAACCGTGGTCGGCCATGTGGGAGTGTCCAGCACCTTAACCACCATGCCACCTGCTGGTCCCGAGACAGTAATTTTTGAAGCGTAGGTTTTGCGAGTGCGTCAGACACCTGACCGGATGGCGTTCGCATCCAGCAATACCATTTCATTCTGTGAAAAGCTCCAGTGGGAAGGTTAAAAACAGGGCTGATTTTTTCTGTTTCCTAATTTGGATTTTTTTTAGGATTTATAGCTGAAGGGGTCCCTCTCTTGTGATGTTCTTTGCCCAGCCGTCCAACTTACCTATTTCACAATTTTCGTTTGCTTTGCTTTGCCCTTTTTTTTTTCAATTTATTTATTTGCATTCATTCACTGTACATCATTACAGCATACAAAATGAGATTTTCCATCCAGAGTGCACTGCAAATTGTCTCAATCAAGCACATCAACAAACATGTTATTGTCAGAAAATGAACATCAACAAACATGTTATTGTCAGCAAATGATCTTCCATTTCTTGTTTTCTGTATGTTTTGCTTTTCTCCCCCCCATCCTTGATTCCCTATCTCTTACCCTCTGCCATCTCCCACTCTCCTCCCACACTGTCTCTGGTATCTATGTTTGCTTTCTATACTGTTTTCCCCCCACATTTTATTGAATCACCAAAGACCCTAATCAATCCAAATACCCTCCTAGCAAACACAGGTGACACACACATTTCCATGGACACAAGTCTAACTTTACCATCCTATAAAGTGGCACCTAGCTGGGGCTACGTATCCTACTGCTTTGCCCTTCTTTATTGCCAGAGGTCATGTGTACTTGCCGGAAAGAGACAGAGAGACAGAGGGAGGGAGAAAGCACCCCCCCTCCGCGGGTCACCCCTTCCTCCATTTCTCCATCCTGCTGGGATCTGAGCACGAGCGGACACGTGCACACATGCCGGGCGTGTTTTTCAAGCCACCAGGGCCGGAGGTGGAGTGATCAGCCGTGTGGGGTCTGGCTCCCCTAACCACTCAGCTTTGGCACTGGCCCTCAACGTGTTTTGATGACTTTGTGCCACGTTTCATTTTAACACCTAGGGATGAGAAAGAAAGAAAGAAAGAAAGAAAGAAAGAAAGAAAGAAAGAAAGAAAGAAAGAAAGAAAGAAAGAAAGAAAGAAAGAAAAGAAAGCCACCTTTTACTGCTTTTCTTCCCTGTGCTTTGACCCAGCATGTAAGGCAGGGTGCAGTTGGGGAAGGAGAACCGAGAGGGTTATAGCCCGAGGGAGTGTCCACGGGGACAGAGCGCTCAGCTGTAGACGATGGAGAAGCAAGGAGGGTCTGAAAGGAGAAGCTGGGGACCAGCTCTGAAGCCCTGGGCTGGGTGGGCACATGGGACCTTCCCTAGGAACCAGAGCCCAGGCACCCACCTGCGGGTGGGCCGTGAGAGCGGCTGTGGCCCATGGTGGAGGTGGAGTTTGCCTGCAGGGCGGGGAGGGGGCGCATCAGCCACCCACTCCACTGTCCCCTCAGATGTGCCTTTCTCTTGGACTAACCCTAACTGGGAGGGGACACCAATGACATGTAGTCAGGCGAGATGGCCCCACCCGCTGCCCCCCGCAGTGCGTTCCTCCTGACTGTAGAGGGTAACTTTCTGGAGAGCAGACCTGAGGTTGTAGCCTTTGGGGACTAGCTCTCGGTGCAGACAGACCCCAGCCTCGACTGCTCAGACAGTACGATTGGGCTCCGGGTACCCCTGGCCTGTTTCCGCTGTGTTCCCTGGCTGTGCTGAGCCCCGCGGGCTGCCTTACATGAGGCAGGCTGTCTCTCCTTGGGTCTTCGTGTCTGCTCGCCTCCACCCTGCCTTGAAATACGCTTTCAGACTCACACCCCTGAGCCTGGCCGATGTCACACAGGGCACGGTCCCTGAGCAAGGGCTTCTCCTGCAGCTTCCCACGGACCTTGGGCTGGTGACCTGCCCTTGTACTTCTTTCATAAAGGGACTCGAAAGGTCCGCTCAAAAGGGAGATGCAAGTAAAGTATGATTTATTTTGGTGCAAAAAAACCTGAAATCTATGCAGATTCTTTCCATAATACGCATTTTCTCTGAGCTTTTAGGAGGCCCCTCGTACTGGAGTCCCACTGCGGCCCTGCTCACCATCCATGGGGGCATGCGTGTAAAGACAGGGTCCGACCTTTGACTCTAAGGCGCTCACACTTCAACAGGGAAATTAGACATCCACACTGAAAGATTAGCATTGATTGGGCTAGGCAGGTGCATGGTGGTTTATGCGGCTAGATCCCATATGCTCAGCTGCCCAGTTCGAGGCCTGGACATGGCAGCGTGAAAAGCATGTTGGGTGAATGTACGCGTGTACCCACAATCCCTACAGGGGAGCAGAGGAGAAGGGGTTGTGGTGTGGCCATCCCCCGGGGGTGAGTTCTCTCTTTCTCTTTGTCTCTGTCTCTCTCTAGTGAGTATACATGCTCTATAGCAAAACTTTTTAAAAAAATTAGTGTTGATTCTATCACAGAGAAAATAATGAAGACCTGTGAGGACAATTAATATGGGTGTAGAATTTCACAGTAGGGGTATTTCTGAAGTCACTGAGGGTGGGGAAGTGTTTGCCAGTTAGAGGGGGGAAGATGAGGAACGAGGGCAGATCGGACGTCCGGGGCAGCAGAGCGGTCAGACCACGGGCCGCGAAGTTCTGGGAGGGGGACTGAGGAGCGGAGAGGCCTGGGGCGAGGCGAAGCGAAGCAGGGAGCTGGAGATGCAGCTGGGCCGCGCTAGCCTCAGGGCAAAGGGCCCTTGGTGTCCTAGACCTAGAGCTGCATCTGTGCCCGGAAGAGGCAGGGGACATGGCCAGGAGGCCCGTATTCCAGCAGATGTTGAGGGAGCGTGAAGGGTGCAGAATCGGGGTTTGAAGCTGGAGAGACGGGAGCGCTCCTGATGCCGAGGGCGGGGCAGGAACCTGGGCAGAGCTGCTGGGTGCCAGCCTGGTGGAGGGCGGAGGTATGCCGGCCCCCCCGCAGCACCACACTGCCCGCGTGACCACCGCACTTGGAGACGAGACGGGCGGGTGCTCAGGGAAGGCAGTGGTCAGTGGGAGAGGGGGAGGCCCGCAAGCCCACCTGCTGCGGAGAGGCATGGGCGCTGCCTGGAGCTGGCCTGGGCCGGACCTCCGCCCCTCGGGAGGCCCTGAGGGACATCCAGGAATGAATGCGCTGGAGGACAGAATGGCTGACAGGCAAGTCCGTGCCCCGACTGCTGTGTTCACAGTGGCTCGAACCTTCGCGGTAGGAACAGGCAAGCCCGCGTCCAGGCGCGGAGTCTCCTGGAGAAGGTTGGCATTTCTGCATTGGTTTTTCTTCAGGGCAGGCTCTGCCACACTCAGCCCTCTGTGGGCCCACACCGGCAGGGGTCACCAGGTCCCCTGCTGCAGAGCTGGGTCCTAGACGGCCTCTCCGTCACGCTGACCTCTATGACGGTTTACCTGAACCGGATGTCCATAGGCAGAGGCTGCTAGTCCTTCAGGTCTCGGGGTCTTGCTGTGGAGACGCGGGAGCCAGTGTCCACATGGCTGCCGGTCGCCTGGCAGAGCTGCCTGTTGTCTCACTGTCCTGAATCTGACCTGGGGCCTCCCCTCTGCAGTCTGTCTTCCCCCGAGGCAGGCTGTCCTTCCTACCTAGTGGTCATGTCCCGTCCGCAGCTCTCGGTGCCCGCAGCTCTCGGTGCCCACGCCTCTGCAGGTCCTGGCCTGCCAGCCGCCAGGCCCCAGGCCCCTGCAGGCGTGTGCGTGCAGTGACTACTAGTTTCTGTGGATATCTTGAACGATCTCTCCTACTAAATGTTTTCTATCCCCCCCTTTTCCAACCCGCTTCCCCAAATAGCGGAAAGACAAGCTGCGGGAACACATGCAAAGGATGCACAACCCCGAGAGGGAGGCCAAGAAGGCCGACCGCATCAGCCGCTCCAAGACATTCAAGCCGCGCATCACGTCCACCGACTATGACAGCTTCACGTTCAAGTGCCGCCTGTGCATGATGGGCTTCCGGCGGCGGGGCATGCTGGTCAGTACCCGCCCGCACCCCGCACTCCCAGCCTTCGGTGGGAGGGGTTGGGACCTGCAGGAGACGGGCGAGGGGCTCCTGTCAGCATTCAGCCCTCCTGCCCTCCCTGACTGCTCTTCTGCGAACTAGGAAGAGGTCTTTTCCTTTTAGTTTTTGAGAGATTTTGGCTGTAGGGCACATGCGCTCGTGGGAGAGACAGAGACTGAGAGACACACCTGGGGGGGATGGCCATGCTGCAGTCCCTTCTCCAGCCTCCTTGGTATTTTGGGCACACATGCACACGTGCCCGAGGAAGACGTCTTTTTCTACGGCTTTTCTTTTCTTTTTTTAAAATTTTTTTGGAGAGGTTTTCGCTATAGGACGCGTGCGCTCGCCAGACAGACAGAAAGCGAGAAATCACCCCCCAGGGGGGATGGCCACACCACAGTCCCTTCTCCTCCATTCTCCTCTCGGGATCTTGGGCACGCACGCACACGCGCCCGGCGTGAGTTTTAAGCCACGGGGTCCGGGATGCGAACCATGGTCGACTACGTGGGAGTCCAGCGACATAGCCATTACGCTAACTGCTGGTCCCTCTGTGGCTTTTCTTTACTGTTTTCTTTGGTGTTCCTGCACATGTTCCTCTTCTTCCTAGCAGTCCCCTTTTCGTGCCCCTCTTTTCTGATGGCGACAGCGAGAGAAGGGGCTTTCTAGCAGTGGGCATGGGGCTGCTGAGCTGAAGGAGCCCTGCGGCCAGCTCTGGCCGCCCACCCCGCCACGCCACTGCCCTTCCGGGACGTGTTTCCTCTGGGGCTGCCCGGTGGCTGAGCGTGTTTCCTAGTCAGAACTAGTTTGCATTCCTCCCGTGTCCTCGGTAAGGCGAGGGCACTCCGTGAGGAAAGACAGGTCTGCTCAGGCCAAGTCACCCAGATGTCACCTCCTTTCCCTGCCGGTCGTTCTTAGTCCAGGACTGTGGGTGGGGTTGGCAGTGACCGCGCGCCACCAGCCCTTGCCGCGTTGCCACCCCCTTCTCTGACAGTGACTGCGAGGCTTTGGTGTCGGGTCCAGTGGAGCTGGTTCTGGCCGAATGCCTGGCCCCAGGGGCCTTGCTTCGCCGTCCAGCCGACCCTGCCCTCTTCCTCACTGTGCTTCGTTTTCACTTCAGGTAAATCACTTATCCAAGCGGCACCCAGACATGAAGATAGAGGAGGTGCCCGAGCTGACGCTCCCCATCATAAAGCCCAACCGCGACTACTTCTGCCAGTACTGTGACAAGGTGGGCAGCCATCGAGACCGTGTGGCACTCGGGGCGTGGCACTGGGAGCTGGCCTGGAGCCAGCTGTGCGCGTGGGGTCCGCAGCCGCTCTTCACAGGTGGTGCCCGCCCTCGGTAGTCTTCCATTCAGACACGGCAGGGCTGGAAAGGCGGCCTCGTTTTAAGCTGAAATCATTTTCTTAAGAGCTCGTTGCCGATTTTTCTTTTTGTGCCTTCTCTCTGGTTTCTGTTACAAAAGAACAAACTGGTATGTGAGTGCATTTAAACTCACTGAGCTCGCAGGAGAGCTCGCCTTGCTTGTCACTTGCTTGTGAAGGAAGGGCAGCTTTGGGCTTCCCGAAGAGGATGATGACAGCCCCTGGCTGCACGGCCCCACTGTTTGCTTCGTGCAGTTACAAAGGAGATAAAGGGCACCTTTGTTGTCCCATCGCGATCCTGTTTCTTTACCTAGAGTAACTGCGTCAGCTTAAAAGTAAGAAATAGTTTAGAAATGGGTCCCCCTGAAGGTACAAGTTGGTATGAAACTTGGTGTCTGGACAAGTATCGGCCCTGGCTGGCAGCACCACCCTGAAGGAGCCCTGCGGCCAGCTCTGGCCGCCCACCCCGCCACGCCACTGCCCTTCCGGGACGTGTTTCCTCTGGGGCTGCCCGGTGGCTGAGCGTGTTTCCTAGTCAGAACTAGTTTGCATTCCTCCCGTGTCCTCGGTAAGGCGAGGGCACTCCGTGAGGAAAGACAGGTCTGCTCAGGCCAAGTCACCCAGATGTCACCTCCTTTCCCTGCCGGTCGTTCTTAGTCCAGGACTGTGGGTGGGGTTGGCAGTGACCGCGCGCCACCAGCCCTTGCCGCGTTGCCACCCCCTTCTCTGACAGTGACTGCGAGGCTTTGGTGTCGGGTCCAGTGGAGCTGGTTCTGGCCGAATGCCTGGCCCCAGGGGCCTTGCTTCGCCGTCCAGCCGACCCTGCCCTCTTCCTCACTGTGCTTCGTTTTCACTTCAGGTAAATCACTTATCCAAGCGGCACCCAGACATGAAGATAGAGGAGGTGCCCGAGCTGACGCTCCCCATCATAAAGCCCAACCGCGACTACTTCTGCCAGTACTGTGACAAGGTGGGCAGCCATCGAGACCGTGTGGCACTCGGGGCGTGGCACTGGGAGCTGGCCTGGAGCCAGCTGTGCGCGTGGGGTCCGCAGCCGCTCTTCACAGGTGGTGCCCGCCCTCGGTAGTCTTCCATTCAGACACGGCAGGGCTGGAAAGGCGGCCTCGTTTTAAGCTGAAATCATTTTCTTAAGAGCTCGTTGCCGATTTTTCTTTTTGTGCCTTCTCTCTGGTTTCTGTTACAAAAGAACAAACTGGTATGTGAGTGCATTTAAACTCACTGAGCTCGCAGGAGAGCTCGCCTTGCTTGTCACTTGCTTGTGAAGGAAGGGCAGCTTTGGGCTTCCCGAAGAGGATGATGACAGCCCCTGGCTGCACGGCCCCACTGTTTGCTTCGTGCAGTTACAAAGGAGATAAAGGGCACCTTTGTTGTCCCATCGCGATCCTGTTTCTTTACCTAGAGTAACTGCGTCAGCTTAAAAGTAAGAAATAGTTTAGAAATGGGTCCCCCTGAAGGTACAAGTTGGTATGAAACTTGGTGTCTGGACAAGTATCGGCCCTGGCTGGCAGCACCACCGCTCCCGAGGGCGTGTGCAGCTCAGGGAAGCCGTGGCCGCCGCAGCCAGTCCCTCCGTGCAGCCACCTTTGAAACATAGCATGAAGGCGTGTTTACAGGTACCTTCATTGCACCGGGGTACTTCAAGACAGTTGTGAAAAATGAAAATAAGTATGAATTTTTAAAAATGTTTGTTGATTGATGTTTTTGCCATAGGGCACATGCACTCACTGAGGAGAGACAGAGTCGGTGAGAGGGAAGGTGAGGACTCATCCCCCGGGGTGGATGGCCGTGCTGCAGCCTCTTCTCCACTCTCCTCCTGGGATTTTGGGCGTGCACGCACTTGCACCCAGTGTGATTTTCAAGCCATGGGTCTGGGACTCAAACTGCAGTCAACCATGTGGGAGGCCGGCACCTTAACCACCATGCCACCTACTGGTCCCCAAGTATGAGTTCGTTTTGGTGCAAAATACACATTTCCTATGAATTTTTGAAGCCATGTGCACAAATTCAAGGAAGACGCTTCTGTACTTTGTCGTTTTCTTACTCTGACGTACGTCCTCAGGACCCTCCGGCAGGTCCGCTGGCCTGTGGTATTTGGGGCGGCAGGAACCCATCACATTTGCCCGGATGAAACTGTCGATCGTTTGCTTGGGGCACGAAAGTGTCTGCTGCTTTCACGAGTGAGCGTTTGCTCTGCATTGCAGGTTTATAAGAGCGCCAGCAAGCGCAAAGCGCACATCCTGAAGAACCACCCGGGGGCCGAGCTCCCGCCCAGCATCCGGAAGCTCCGCCCTGCAGGACCTGGAGAGCCAGACCCCATGCTGAGCACCCACACGCAGCTGACGGGCACCATCGCCACCCCTCCCGTGTGCTGCCCGCACTGCTCCAAGCAGTACAGCAGCAAGGTGAGGGCGTCTGTGTCCTGAGGCCGCTCCTATGGCTTCTGAGTGGGTGGGGCTACTGGGGTGTTGGCTAGTCCTGTCCACGGTCCCGTGGCAGAGAATGGGGGATCCCGCTGTCTTCCACTGCGCTCCCCTGCGGGGGCCTCCTGTCTGACCACACCTACTTTGTGCGCTGTGTTTAGACGCCCTATGGGGATGCAGATGGTGGTCCTCGCTTCGGTTCTGCTGCCGGGGCTGTGACAAGCTGCTGTGGGCACCCGTGGGCGGGGACAGCGAGGTGCTGGACATCACCTGGCAGGGATGGGATGGGCGGTTTCCTGTGGGTCTCCTTCTCGTTCCCCTTTCATCAGATGGCCCCTGGTAGGGACTCCAGGCAGTCAGCGACACTGGGCTTGAGATAAAGACTTCGGGAAGCTTTAGAGGGTTTACATGGGCGAAAGACTGAGAGTAGCCAATTCTAGAAATTATTCTTGGTTTTTGCCTTAATTTTTTAGACCAAGATGGTCCAACACATTCGAAAGAAGCACCCAGAATATGCCCAGCTCCCGAACGCCATTCAGACGCCGCTGACCACGACTGTGATCAGTGCCACCCCGGCCGTCCTAGCGACCGACAGTACCACCGGGGAGACGGTGGTGGTGAGTGCGGGGCAGGAAGGGCATCCCTCCCTGCGGTGCCGTGGTCTCTTCAGCACCTCGTGGTGGTCCAGGCACCTCTGGCTGCAAGTTACCCAGCAGGCTTTCTCCCCCACACCAGGCGTGGGCCGTGACGCCTCCTGGTCCCTCCCCAGAACTCTGCCTAGAGGGCGCGAGACCTCTCAGCTCTCATTCACGGCAGATGGTCAGCGCCTCTAGGGCGGCTCCGTGGGGTCCGACAGAGCTTGAACTCGGCAGAGATGTGGTGTCGAGACAGACAGAGACAGGGACAGCACTGGGCCCTGCTGGGGAAGCGCGTTAGAGGTCAGGCATAGAGATGGCCGTCGCTGAAGATGGGGAGGGAGGCAGGGTCAGAGTCCACCTGGGCTTCAGAGAGACAGGTGTGGATGCAGAGATAGGAATAAACATACAGAGGTCCAGAGAGAGCCGTCTGGAGGATAGTGACAGAGGTAACAGAGAGAGACTGCTATGGGGTCAGCAGGGTTAAGTGGCATTGGGGGTTAAGGGGGCAGACCCCACACATCCAACATGTGGTTCTAGTCCAGATCCGGTGCCTAGAAAGACATGCGAGGTATGTGCGTGCGTTCCCAGAATCCAGAGAACAAGGAGAAGGGTTGCAGCATGGCCGTGTTCCCCTGGGAGCTTTCTTACTCCCCTCCTCTCACTGTCTCTCTCTGGTGAGCCCATGTGCCGTATAGTAAAAATGGTCAAAAAGAGGGGCCAGCAGGTGGCATGGTGGTTAAGACGCTGGGCACTCCCACGTGGTCAACCGCAGTTTGAGTCCCAGCCCTGGTGACTTGCTTTCTCACTTTCTCTCTCTCTTTCTGGGTCGCTCTCTAGTCAAATTAAAATAAATGAATGAATAAATAAAATTTAAAAAATTAAAAAAGAAAAGAAATAGAAGAAATAGAAATAGAGTCACAGGCACAGAAGGGGAGATGCAGGTGCCGAGGTGGAGGGACACACAGAGATGGATGGCAGAGACGTACTGAGAAAGACGGATGTGGGGATGGAGGGCTCATCTCCCAGACCCTCCCGGTGTCCGGGCCATCCTGCCGGGCTGAGCGGGCTGCGTCATGCTTGTGGCCCCGCAGCGCGGCCCCGGAAGGCAGTGGGGATGGAGTGCCAGCGTCGGTGTCTAACGCGTCCTGTCCGTGTGGCTGTTGCAGACCACAGACCTGCTTACTCAAGCGATGACGGAACTGTCCCAGACCTTGACGACGGACTACCGGACGGCGCAGGGCGACTACCAGCGGCTGCAGTACATCCCCGTGCCCTCGTCGGCGTCCAGCCTGCAGCAGGCCCAGCACATTCAGCTGCAGGTGGTCCAGGTGGCCCCGGTACGCCCTCCCTGCCCTCCTCAGACCTCGCAGGCCCCCTCCGCTGAGCCAGCGTGGAGCCAGCGTGGAGCCAGCTCTACAGACGCTCCCTGTTCCCAGGGCCGCAGTGGCTGGGCGCCCGCCCGCCCCCCGGCGGGGGGGCGGC